ATTATTTATTGAACGCCACTCGTACGAACACAATTAATTACCAGAGCTACGCTTCAGCACAGGGCACTGCAATGGGTTTTAGATGAGTGCATGGCCGCCACATCCAAGCAGCGTGATACTCTTCATTGTGAGTGCGGCCGCAGCAAACGTGTGACTGAACAACATTGTAGAGACAGAGAGGTCAGTGACTTCACCTCTAACCTTTCTTTCATAGTGTTGAATGTAAATAAAGGTATTAGACAAAACCTGAAAGATAAGAAGTCTGTAAATATTGTAAATAAATATGATATTAATATTATAGTTCTTTCGGAATGCTGGATCTGAAAGAAAAGGGTCAAATGTAAATGAAATCTTTTTGCTGCATACCACCAGAAAGAAGGTACTTTTTATATAAAAAAGAAGATGCAGAAATTCTGCAGTATTTGGAAAAATAATTTGCAAATTTTCTAACAAGAGAAAGGTTTTTTTAAGGAGGTAATTTAAATGCTAAGTGTGGTAATTTAGATGATTTTATAAGGAAGGATATGATAAATAAATCTGTATAAGATACTCTGCAAGTTCTTACGTATACAGATTCAGGCAGAGAAATGCATCGACTTGATGCGTATTCCTCCACCTGTCACATCCGAGGTTTGAATGGAGCGTAGGGAAGTCAGCCGAGGAGTGTCGATATTTTCCGAATAACTTCCCTGTCAAGGAGTACATACCAAGGAGTACATGTAATATTGAATTCGGGCACGCGATTCCGTTAGAATCGTCGTTAATGTAAATAAAAATGGCAGCTAGGCTACGGTTTGGGAAAGTTAATTTCTTGTCACCTGTTATGATATTTTAATTTTTATTTCGATGTTTTTTTTTTATTAAAACTTGATATCTTCATGATAAGCTCATATATTTTTTAATATAGTTCAAAAAGTCATCAGCGGGGTAAATTCGTAACACAGTTAATTAGGGACCTAATACGGAGTCGTACATGCAGACGTCGCCCAGTATGGGTTACCATATCACACCCTGTATAGAGGTCCCTAACTGACCGTGTCACTAAGTTTTTTATTATATGTACAAAACTAAATTAGACTAATTCTAAAGCATTTTTCTACAAGAAGAATAAAATTAATCCGTTTATTCAATTAGAAGAATAAAATTAATCCGTTTATCCAATTCGAAAACAATTTAAGCAACATCCCCAATTGATAACTGAGCATTATCAGTAAAACGCTTGTAGCCGGAGATGATATACATACATGTTACTGTAGAGATTTATACTGTGTAGATATTATGAATTACAAATATCAGACTGACTACCGACAAAAAAATGCAGAAAATACTTTAATTTTTAACCGTCATACAAACATTAAACAAGTGAAAAAATAATTTTGAGTTACTGAAAAAAAAAAGATAGGTATAGTTTAGAGAAAAAAGGATTTCATTTCATGTGTAAATTAATTCGGGCACGCGATTCCGTTCGAAGCGTTGTTAATGTAAATAAAAATGGCAGCTAAGAAACGGTTTCGGTAAGTAAATTTCTTGTCATCTGTTATGATATTTTAATTTCTATTTCGATTGGTTTTTTTTTGGATTAAAACTTGATATATTCATAATAGGCTCATATATTCTTTATTTTTAGTATGGGTTACCATATCACACCCTGTATAGAGGTCCCTAACTGACCGTGTCACTAAGTTTTTTATTACATGTACAAAACTAAATTAGACTAATTCTAAAGCATTTTTCTACAAGAAGAATAAAATTAATCCGTTTATCCAATTAGAAGAATAAAATTAATCCGTTTATCCAATTCGAAAACAATTTAAGCAACATCCCCAATTGATAACTGAGCATTATCAGTAAAACGCTTGTAGCCGGAGATGATATACATACATGTTACTGTAGAGATTTATACTGTGTAGATATTATGAATTACAAATATCAGACTGACTACCGACAAAAAAAATGCAGAAAATACTTTAATTTTTAACCCTCATACAAACATTAAAATTAAAAAAATTAGCAAACAAACAAACATAAACAAGCAAACAAACAAAGAATAACATTTGAAATGCGCTGAAATTTATGAACGGTGTGTAATAAACATTTTCTTTTTTTTTTCTTCAATTCAAAGTATTTCCTTTTCGTCCTGTCTGCCTATTTGACAAATTACTGAAATATATTAATATAGAAAATATAAGAATAAATAAACATCGATAATGTTAGCTCAATTTTGCATTTTTTTTTAAATGCTCGCTTCCGAAAAGTACCGAAAAATATTTGTTTAAAAGACCTGATAAAAATATTCTTCAGTTGTTGCTAAAAAAAATATCCCCTCTCTGATACCTCTTAAGTGTACAGCATTGTTAAGGCTTGAAAAAGGGGCGGGCCTAATTTATACCGGAAAAGTTTTCTGTAACGTCAAACAAAAATGATTTTTATGTACCTGAAAATAATATAATTTGCAACTTTTAACTGTATTAGTATAATAAACAACAATAAAACGTATCAATGCATTAATAAAAGTTGCTAGTTAAATCCCATGTAGCTGGTTATAAACAAAGTACTGATCGCGATGAACTTGTGAATATGACGTCATTTTGGTAAAAATGACGTATTTCATGTGCTGTGAGAGGCAGATTGGGGAATTTTTTTACAATGAAAAATGCGTTTTATAATAAAACGGAATATTATAAACAGGTTTTAAATAGTCGATTAATACCAATATTTATCCTTTGTTTAGTGCGATTATGCATTAACTATCAAGAGGATGTATTTTATTAATTATGTCGTGTTTTTATATACAGATTACGTATATTGTACATCGAGATGCCTTATAAAATCGTACTTTCGCAAGGGCATACACTGCATAGATCTTAAACATTTTTTGAATATAGATAAAGAATTTTTTCCTCAACTGGAAAAGTGCAGCTGCTTTCTTTAAATCGAGGGCGTAATTTTGTAAGTACACAAAATATTTGGTGAAAGTCAAACAAATTTCGACATTGGCCTATTTACTTGAAAATCTAACTATTAAAACGCGTATTCTATTCAAAGCAGCAGCACATATCAGATACTACCAAGTATGCAGAAACAAGAAATAGCTTGAATTTTAAGTGTACTAGTGTATGCCCTTGTGATATTGAAATTTGTTAATGACCTACATTCAGTACACAAATTATGCAATCTTCACGTGACTGTCCATTGATGGGACTAAACTTCATACAGTACAGAGTGGGTAATACTATGCTATTTCCGTAAGTATTAAAGTTCTGTAATAATAGAACAGCTTAATCAAAATAAATTCAGTTTTTAATGAATCCCCTTTTTTGCACGTCTATTTTCCATTGATTTCTCATAGTAGGCCTTTACAGTGCTGCGCGCGACGTATATATGCATGCATGCCTCGGGTTATCTTTCTTGCATTTATTTATAGATGATTGTATCTAGATAACTTCAGTTTTATTTATCTTTCTAAATTAATGAAGCCTTTAGAAGTATATATATTTCTTTTCTTTAAAAAGAAGTTAGCAGAGCTTCGATTTTTGACCAACTGCATCACATAAAAACATTAAAACAATTCACAACGTAAGTTTATGCATCGATGATTCAATGAATGGTGGAGCGGATCAAAATGCTTCGTGATGTTATAATATTTACTAATGCCCATGGCTGCCATGTATCCTCTAACAGGTCCAAATACACGTATATCAAAATTGCATTCATTCTTTACAAGCCAGATCATTTTGTCTGAAAGATCCGACACTGTTCAGGTATGTATGCTTGTCCGAAATATCACTTGCGTTTTCCAGGCTCTCTTCAAGGCCACGTAAAATATCAAAATGGTTAAAAAAAAAAACTGGGAAACCTAAGATATTCCTGATTTTACCTACGTTCACTATAGCGACATCTTTGCTATGGTATATAGAAGCTGTTAGCACGTCTTTTTTTTAAATATTTAATACTCCCCCTCAGGGAGTATTTATACTCCTTGTTCCCGTTCTTTTTTTTTAATCATAGCCTCAATCGGATCACTTCTTCCTTTTCCGTCGTACGCTAGAAAAGTCCATTGTTATGCAACAGAAAAAAGGCGAGGTGATCCGATTGCTTTCACCTGATTGGTGTTGCTTGGATAAACAATGCGGATTTCAAAATCTTGAAGTCAAGACAAAAACTGTGTGAGTAAGTTAATTGTCAATTCGTTAATTATCATTAATTTTATGGTTTAAAATATATTACTCGATTTCATTTTTATCATATTTTGGCATGCAGAGGTTAAATGTTGTATAATGATACATAAACAGCAATTTAACTTGCATTTTAAGTGGTTATGGGTTAACAGTAATGAATTATATAGAAGCTTAATTCTTTCAAATGATAATCAGAGGTTTATTCCTTGAATATGTCCTTGTTAAAACTTTTCATTACACGTGCACTTAATTAAGAGTTCCCTTAATAAGTTTAAGAGGAACAGGAGGAGTTTACATGTGTTAACTTGAAGTTTACTTTGAATCAATTTGTCAATGCATGGATCTATGTAGAGAAAGGGGTTATCAGAATTGATAAATTTTCATTTGACCTTGGACAGCCTCCCAAAAAACTCTGACTTCCCCTTAAAATAGTAAGAAAAACACGTACCTGTATCTGAAGAAATGGACATGACAACTATTTCCCCAAAACACAGACAAACACCCATGAAATAAGTTTATCAGATTTTAGCAAGTTATTGTGAACTTTGTTCACGTTTAAACAAATTAATTCTTAACCCGCCTTTTTTCTCACTTCGATTCCAGCCTTGATTTTTGTGTAACACCCCCCCCCCCCCACACACACACACACACAATAGCATGCCATGACTTTGTTTCTTTGTTTTCTTATATTTATAACATGCATATTGATAAAATTAAGTTTATTTCTGGTGTATATCGGTTATAATCTTTCAAATATTACTCCACAGGGAAAGGGTTATCTGAAGACATTTCAACAATATCCTCCGCGAAGCAAAAGAACTTTCTAAGTTATGGCTACTGTATTTAGAAACAGAAGTACCATTCTCAGCCAGTTAATTATCTTCTTAGTGGTAATTGCCATGTTAGTGGAAACAAAATCCATTCGTGTTAAACGTTGGATAAAAGTATGTATGCTCAATTTTTCACATGTTTATACACGTATCAATCTGATATAATTTAAATCCATATTCGTAAAGCTATATATGGATATCTGAGCTAAATATAAAAATACGAGTGTAGATTTACAAGATACATGTATTTACAATGTTCGTCCGAATGCAAATTTGCACCGATTTTGAACTTAAATAACCCCACCTTACTAAAGTTAAATTGACTTTAAACTATGTTTGATATTTTTATCCGAGTCGGAAATAAATCAGCTATAATTGTTTTAAATCTGTGATTTCTATAAAACGCGATTGATTTGTGGTATCATGCTATTAAATGCGCTTAGCAGAATTAAATGTAGTAGAGACTAATACGAACCCCCTCCCTCCCCAAAGAATGTGTGTGAACAAGAATTACCGCGTCCGTATAGCCGGGGAGCCACACAATGTTTTGTGCACTGGGTTTCTTTTCAGTAATAACCTCTATGTTTAGGTACATGCATTTGGAAAGAGAAAGAGAGATAACCTTAAAATGTAGATGTAAATATTTATTACACTTAAAAAACAAGATAATATGTCTTGCGACCCTCAAGATTCTCTCCCTGCTACAATGTAGTTTTATGTTTTAGTTCAACTCATTCCTAATAATACCCAACAGCGCATAATGGCTTGAAGGGAAAAATTCGTTAGTGGACAGTTGATCAAGAAATTTTGCATCGAATGCAGCACCATGAATATCTACGCGAGTATTTTTTGGCGAGTTGTGCTTCTCGCAAAAATATGCAGTGAGAAGTATGAAGTTTAAAATTTTTGGAATGTTCCAGATAATGAAGTCCAGAGGGATCGTGTCGCAGTAGGCGCTGCCTCGAAAAAAATTGTTCACTGCTCATTGAACCTGTTGCGGAGTATTATGACTAAATTTGCATCCCTGGAATTGCAAGCTGTAATGTCTCTAGATGAGCGAAAAATTCTCGAAGGGAACGGCTAAACAAAAAAAAACTTCGTTATTTAAACAGGTAGACTATATTAAACGTGTTCAGAAATGTTGATTATAATTACATTTGTAAGTGAATGTAAATGTTCTTCATTTCATTACATTTTCAGTGTGCGTCTTCATTGTCTTCAATGACAATTGTACCTTCATGCCCATATGACGAAAACACATATATCAAAAGAGCTCGGTTGAAAAACTGCTCAGCGGTAAAAGCTTGTTGGGATGAACGTTGTGTGTATCACTGTGCACTAAATCCATGGGGAAATGCAACAATAGAAGTATGTGCACCAGAAACACATCTAACAGGTACGTATTTCACTAAGATACACATGTGAAAAAAATCTTCGTATATAAGGCTGTGAAATGTTGTTTAAATCATCATTTACAGATCCACCGAAATATGACTGAAATATAGCCGACTCGGCGTGAAACAGTATCAATCAATCATTAACGGGGAAAATATTTTCATCGAAAACACCTGAAGAAATATCTATTCAAAAATTTCAAGTTTAATTCTAATGTTTTTTTTTAAATACATGTATCAATTATACACTGAAAATGAGTAACTATTTTTTTCTATCAGTTAACACATTTAGCTTCTTTTCTCTTAGAATTTTACCAGACATCAGCCACATGCATGAGGTACACGATAGATTAAGAACTTTGATATGTGCTTGATTTTACCATTTTTAATTTTTCTTACTCGATTTTTTTTAAGATGAATTTATTCTTTTTCGCAGAAATAACGTACATATAAGAGTATAAGTTTAAAAAAACTCTTATATTAAACAAAGGTTTACTCATGAAATAATATACAGTTTATCATATTTAAAACTCGTTTAATTCACTTGCTGTCTGTGTAATTGTCCCTTCATCAAATCTAACTACACGTATTTAGACTTGCAATAGATTTTTTGTCATTCGGTAACATTTCACATTGATTATTGAAAATTTTCTTTTTGTAGGTTCTTATTGCATTCAATACAATCCAGGGGTAGGGCGTATTTTCAAACTGTACAGCCGCCCTTGCAAAGAGTGTCCCTTTAACTATAACTCTACCACATCGTATAAATGTAAGTAAAACCTTTTTAAGTGATAAAAAAAAAATAAAATAAAAATTGAAACGTACAATGTATTTCCATTACTTGATTTCGATATTTTTTTTATCTTAAATGAAAGTGGATTGCCTTCTCCAGATTCAGGATGAAAAAAGATGGGTCGGTAGGTAGTAGGGAGAAATTTCTTTCCACGTACATTTCAACATCAATGCTGAAATTCAAAATCCGTTTTCCAGAGTGCATATATACAGTTTATAAATACATGTAGTTGCCTTTACGTTTAAAAAAAAAGACAATTTTGAATGGCGGAATTATTAGCCAGTCGGTTGGAAGAGGGCAACTAACAAATTTATGAATGGTATAATATGAAAGGTATTTTATTACCGTACCTACCCTTTTAGTACATAGTCAATTTTATCTAATTGCAGATCAATCCTGCTACAAAGACATAGGGGACCAAGAGACTTCCAAAAGTGATGAAAATTCGGATCCTCACGCTATTTCTAATTCACTTTTTGTAAATAGGAATTCAAATTTGAATTCAACAATCAATACTGTCAACAATGTGTCCCATGAGTTAAAAACTTCGTTATCATCTAGCTTTTCAACAATCACCCATGCACCACAGTCCTATTCACTTCACACGAAACAAAGGTATATATTTTATTTTTAATTTTACCTTTTATTGTATTGATTATGTAACAATGTAAACAATATAACTTTTTGTCTTTGAGAGAAGATTTGTTAAATCTTTGACGTTATACATAATATAGAATATGGATCAAGAAGGGTTAATCTACATATTTTGAATCCATAAGGACTATTTTGATTTTGCAAATGCGCTGAGCCTAACTCTCTTGCAGTCGTGCAAATTTTTCCCTGAAAGATATTTATTACAAAGTTAACTAAATTATACGAACATTATGTATAATGTGTGCAAAAAACAGATTAAGATCAAGATAGATTGCTTATATGACATATTCTCGTGTCCAAAGGAAAATCGATTGATTTTATTCTACCTCTACATGATTGGAATGATCATCAGTATGCAGGAATACATTGTTCTACACATATAATTTTGAAAACTTTATATTTTCTTTAAGATTACACCGCAAAGGTAAACGAGGTATCATTAATGTCATGGTTTTAATCGAATTATAGGGTTTCTAATGACGATGATGTAAATTATGGATTTCTCGGAGGAGCTTTAGCATTATTTGTTACCTGTAGCATCTTTGTGCTTCTGATTATATTTTGTAAAGGTAAGTTACGTTCTTAAATAGGATCAAACAACTTTGAAATACAGGCACTGTATGAAAATTTTTCGTTGGTCCTCAAGGAAAAAAATTCTAATTATGTTAAAATTTCTTTTCAGAAAAACTATCCTCCCAAATAAAACAGCTGAAGCAGTGTTTAGCAGATCAAAATGAATTAGAAGATAACAAAGGTATTTAACTTAGCAGATCAAAATGAATTAGAAGATAACAAAGGTATTTAACTTAAATTACAACAATAATATGGAATTGAATTTTAAGGTTTGAAATAAACTTCAGATCAAAGAAATATGCACTCTAATGCCTAGTATTATTTTAGGAATAATTTGTATAATTAAATAGGATGTAAATGATTCCTAATCTTTAATTAGTTCTCTCGATATGGCTTCATTATTACATCAAGTCAACTGACCACTCCTACTAGGCACATCTGAAGCTTCAAGGGGTCCTTATGTTATGACCTGGTGACAAAGCTGTATTGTTAAGAATTTAAAAGTCTTTCACAATTTATGTCGACTTTTTCTTGGATGCTGTCTCGAATTATAAACACTATAATTACACATTTCGTTTTGCAGACATAAAAGAGGAAGAAAAAGAACAGGTCGTCAAATACCAGTTCGATAAGACGGGGAAGAGAACGTCATAAAATCGGGAAAAAGATCTAGTATGTAATTTTAAATTATCATGTCCAAGTTTATTAATTGAGCATACCTCTTTTTTTGCTCTATCTAGAGCATTGTTTTTTAAAGTCCTTAATTGTAAAATAAAAATAAATATTAAATAAATAAATGAAACACGCCAACTTTCAGATATTTAGCAATACGTTATAGTTTTGGTACAAATGAATATAAAAACAAGATGTGTTTGTGAAACACTGATGCGTCCGTATGGCAACATTCATGTACAAGTACATGTAGCAAAGATTATATTTTTCTTCAATGCAAATTAAATATATTGGTACCTAAAATTGGATATTCTCACTGGAAATACAATTGTGAAATATGAGAGTAAGCCAAGGTTAAGGTTTCTTCCTAAGAACATAAATTTCAAAGGTCAAGTTCAAAAGGTCAAAGTAACTGGTATCCAATGAAAGACCTTACCACAAAGAATACATATTTGAAGTATGGAAGCCCAGTCCGTATAAAAGTTATAACCAAGACTTTTTAAAAATTAAGTCAAACTCCAAGGTTAAGATTAAAGGGTCAAAGTTCTTGATTTGAAATGAAAGTTCTTGTCACGAGGATTAATATATAAAGTATGAAAGCATTTGCCTTAACCCTTTGAAAGTTATGGTCAAGTTTTGCTTATTAAATGTAGGTCAAACTCCAAGGTCAAGGTTAAAGGGTCAAAGTTTATCCAATGAAGGGTCTTTTCACAACAATTTTATATGTGAAGAATAAAAGCAATAGCTTCTACCATTCAAAAGATATGGCCAAGGTTAAAGTTTTTCCATAAGTACGGAAATCTCCGAGGTCAAAAGGTCAAGGTTGTTGGTATTCAATGAAATGTCTCTTCGAAAAAGAAAACACATATAAATTATAAAAGTCCTGGTATCTACTGTTCAACAAATATGGCCATTTTGAAAGTTAGAAATTTTTGTGTAAAAGAGAGTCAAAGGTCAAGGTTAAAAGATAAAATTTGATGGTACCCAAATACATGTCATGTAACAAAATCAAAAATTATTAGGAAATGTTTTGCGGACAAACAGACAGACGGACACGAAAAAAACTATATACCCCAAATTTTCATTTACTGGGGAATGAAAATGTGGAATTTGGATATGGTCATGTATTTCACCAAAACATCATAGCATCATCAATATTCTGGTCAATATTGTGCAATGAAGCGATAATGCAATGCCGATGGTTCGAACACAATGGCGATGCAGCGATGTTCACTATCATGTTAACTCTGCAATGTCCTAGTATTGTTACAGCATCGCATCATATTCATCGCATTGTTGCTTTATCCTCATTTTGCAATGGCGTTATTGCATTCGCGCCATCGACCTTTTAGTAATTAATAAATAATTATTTATATGATAACTATATATTTAAAAAATAAATAATATTCAATGATAAATCATTAAGGCACATGTTCTTTTATAAAACTGCTTCTTTTCCGCAATGATTTTTTTTATCTGTATTGTCATTATAAATCTATAAAACGAATGTACAGACATTTGTCATGTGGTAGTAAATATGGCATTGTAGGTTCGCACAGAATGCTTCAAGCTCTATTGATAGAATTCCTCTACATCGCTTTTGTTCTTATTGATAGAGTATGTTGATCTTGAATTACGATAGGTGTCTGTTCGAATATTATGTACATAATTTATTGATATTATTATTCTACATTATCATATAATATCAAAATACTGAGTTGGATATAACCTGCTCTCGATGGCTTTATTGATGTGACAATAATACACTTTTTTATGATATTAAGTGAGCTAATCGTGCATCAGGCACATACCTTGTTTCAAACAAATTTGAGCAATACACCTTCATTGAACCTAAGACCCCTGGGCTCTTTCTTGTTTTTGCCTGAATAATACTAATAATAAACTTTCATCAGAATCATCGATATTTTAAATAGATTAATACTAAAATAAGAAACTCAAATGATGTTATGTGTACAAAGTAGTATAATCCAGGCAGAGTTGGAGAAATTGTTAAGATTTTATCACATTGTCAATGAAATGTTTCGCAAAATTGTGTGTATATTTACAAAAAAAGATAATGTGTCGTATATCTATGCACAAAAAATAATAAGGATAAGAAAAGAAAAATAGGTAATATAACAACAAAATACTGTAAAATCACATATTTTCATGGATCAAATTTTGGAGGACTTGGGAAATATATTGGTTGCGGAGATTTGTTTTCGTAGTTGGAAAATGCAAAGTGGTAATGCTTATGAAATTTTACATGGTGGTTTTCAATCCACCGGTGTCTCAATTCCTTGAAAAAAACGAAAACAAGTAATAATATTTCAAATTTAATTAAAAAAATCTAAATATTTTGGGAATAAATCATATCATTTATATTCAAAATCAAAGAAAATTAATAAATTCTTACATAAAATGTGTTAATGTGTTATGTATCCTTGAAGATGAAAATATAAATTTTTTAAAAAAATTATGGCGACGTGTCTTTTATGCAAGGATGAAAATACTACAAAAATAACTTTGAGATAACGTCATAGTTTGCATCATCAAAGGGGTGTTACCTGGAATCTACGAATTTACAATTATTATTTTGCTTCTCAATTCTTTCAAATAATTTTCAATAGAAGGAATCGTTATTTTTTTGCAGGATATTCAAGAAAAAGAAATGAGGAATAAGTATAGAAGAGACAAAAATGGACAATGAGGATCCCTGCTATAATGATTTGACTGAAAAAAAAACATGTGTGAAAACTATTACATTTATGCAGATCTAATATACATGTAAGACTCTGAATTCCAAAATTGACAAAGTATATTTTGCAAATGACACGGGAAGAACGAAACGAACAAAGAGGAGAAAGAAATATTGATACACTTTAAAAAAAATCCCGTATAGAATATATTTAAGAAATAAGGTATCATTTTTTGAGTTTTATTGAGATGTAAAACGGGTTGGTCACGTGATCAAATCCCATAAAGCCCGAAGGGCTTTATGGAAGATTTGATCATGTGTCAACCCGTTTTACATCTCAATAAAACTCAAAAAATGATACCTTATTACTTATATTTACATTTATGACTTATTCATACTTTATATTTGCCTGATTGTTACTTTTAACGTGTGAAATGCGTTAATTTTTCAAACCTAACGGTATGTATGTAATCCACTAAACGCGCGTCGACCCTTTATGACGTCACAGAGAGATTACGTCGAACGTTTATCCAAAGGCACATCTATGACCTCTTGACACCAAACCTGTATTTACACAGTTATAAAAACGCTTCCCTTCAGTAGTGTTATGTAAAGGAAAACATTTGCAAATGTAAATATAATAGAATGAATATAACTATTATAAAGACTATCCTTAAAATATTTGCAATAAGCAAATTTGACGATAAAACTATTACTTTTTCATTTCCCCCTCTGTGTTTTCAGTGCACAGGCAGTCTCTTCTTCAGAACATGATTCCGCTCAAGAACGTTAAGAGACCAGTGATTTTGATTGTTTTGGGGTAATGTCAGTGAAAGTTTCAACCTCAAAAAGACTAATCAATCAAAAACTCAAGCATCTTTTTTATGTCAACTTCAGAGTACTTGTGTATGCAATCATTTAAGAGTTCCATTTTTATTGTAAAAACAGTTGTCAATGATATAAAAAAAAAATCTGGACTTTCCTTTATCGTGGGGAAAGGTTGTGCATAAAGTTGAAAAGTCGTTGATTTTTAAGCTGTTGATTTTAGTAAATTCTTGTAATTTCAAATTGTCCAAAAGCCCCTTGAAATTTTTGAGTATCCACATCTCATTCACAATACTTCTTGAATATATTGTTGCACAGTGCTCTCGAAGTTTTTCCTTCGAATTCACTACTGTCAATACAGACCCTGAGACGTGCTACTACCCCACACGCTCGCTGCATGAACGGTACACGAACGCTACACGGTTTGCACGAAGCGCTGCACGGTTTACACGAAACGCTACACGGTTTGCACGAAACGCTACACGGTTTACACGAAACGCTTTGCACGAAAGGCTGCACGGTTTACACGAAAGGCTGCACGAAACGCTTTGTACACGTTTCTCACATGCTTTGTGCACGATTCTGGCACGTTTTGGCCTCGGTTTGGATTTTTCTACTCGGAATATCTCGGGCATTATTACCGTTTTATCATTAATTCAATGGAAATCTTTCACAAAGCCACATTAAGCAGCTGTTTAAGTTAAATATCAGTACACTAGTCTTATATAAACCGATAGAAATATTTAATACTCTGACAGTTGTAATTATTTAATAAATAATTTTCAGTTCGTATTTATTTATTTATCCAACTGTTTAAAAACGAAATGCCGGTATAATGAATGACTGTTTAATAAAATACAATTTTTATATAAAGGTATTAGTCATTCATTTCAATGTAATGTTTTTACGAGCATAATTTAATAAATTAAACACAAATTCGATTTCTTTCTGCAGGAATATGAACTCATTGCTTTTGAATAATATTGATTATATTGTGTTTGATTTCCGTAGGCGGATTATTTTTCGTGATTTTGATTTTAAATTAGTAATAAAATTTGCCTATATACTCTCCTAACGATTATTGATACATTTTTAAAGATTTTTTTTTCATTTTACGCAAGCATTATCGATAGGAGGGAAACCGGTAAGGGGGGGGGGGTTAATGTGATCTATTAATCTATTCTATTTTCTTTTTAAATGAAACTTATCAAATAACATCAGTATACCCATCATACTGTAAAATCCTTCATTTCAAAACAAGACTTAACGTATGTATATATGTGTACATTTATTAATACTAGTAGTCGCGGCATTTGACTATACATTGTACATACAATATAGATCGATCTTTACACCGGCATTCAGGTATATTACAAGAAAACTGAAATATCTGAGATGAAATAAAAAGTACTTGATATATAAAACAAATAATATACAATTATTCATGATTTACTCCTAAGGTTTTCTTACATGATATTAATGAAAAGACTACCAAATCAGTTCTGCTTATTTTACTGTTTATACGGCTAGAAATTCGGATTTACAAATAAAAGATGAAATCCGCTGATTTATAAGTTGTACCCATACATATTTATAGAACCATTTTATTTAAAAAGAAATAAAATCCAGTCGTAATTTTCAGGTGTCATTAAGCCGTGAACTCAACATGTACATATAGCAAAACAGGTTTTCAGTTGCCATGCACTCGGAGCCGGTGATCGCTGTTGTAAATGACCTTGATCACAGTTGAAAGGCAAAAAGAAGATTCCAATACATTTTTAAGGGGTGTATCTGTGCACACATTTTCAAAGGGATTTAAAAAAGAATAGAAAATTACACATTTATTTAAACTAACATTAGATTAAAAGTTACAACACAAAATGAAAGACTCTACTAGTAATTTAATTTACCCCCCCCCCTCCTCATTTATAAAGATGTGGTCGTCAGTGCATGTGAATTAAAATTATAAAATCCATTTATTTGGCAATAATGGGCAACATATTTTATGTATTGAGAAGTATTAAATGACACATCGTTTCAAAACTTTCTTTCACGTACTTTAAATGTAAAGACAAGAGCGGAGTCCTGATATATTTTTGCTTTAATTTAAAAAAATAATACCGGTATTTCTTTCTTTCTTTGAGAAAATATATTTACGAAGCCGCGATCGCGTTGATAGTATATTGAATTCATACCCCTTAAAATTGTTGTAAATAGTTGATTAATTTGAACACATTTTCTATAGAAAGAAAAGAAATCAAACAAATATAAATTATACAATACCTTTTAATTTCATTTTGTTGTTCCATTTTTTTTTTTTTGTGGTTTTTACTCCTTTAATATCACAAGCATAACTAATTCAATAATAAAATACTAATAGAATTTTACATCCTGACCCATCGATAGCCATATTTAAAATGAAATGACTTCCGAATGAATCTTACACGATTCTTGCACGAAAGTCGCACGTTTCTCACACGGTTCTTACACGAAAGTCGCACGTTTCTTACACGCTTTTCGCACGCTCGCTACACGGTTTGCACGAAACGCTTTGGAGCTCACACGAAACGCTGCACGGTTTACACGAAACGCTACACGGTTTACACGAAACGCTGCACGGTTTACACGAAACGCTGCACGGTTTACACGAAACGGAAAGCGCACGAAAGTCACACGCTTTTTTGGGGTAGTTGCACGTCTCAGGGTCTGTATCTTAGCGAAGAGAAACGAAAGAGGCTTGGTTGAACATTTACTGGAAGCCTCAATGTATCTTTGTTTGTAAGGTTTGTTATGAAGCTTTGAAATCCAATATACAGTACCGACCGGACACAACCTAACACCAGAGCGAACCCGGAGCGGACCCCGGGTTCGCTTCACGGGTTCGCTCGGGGTCCGCTTCGGGTTCGCTTTCAGAAATTTTGGGACCGCTCCGGGTGCGCTTTGGGTGCGCTCCGGGTTCGCTCGGGGTCAGCTCTGGGTCCGCTAGAGCGAACCCGGTGTTCGCTTCCTGGGACCGCTTTACGCACTGATGCGTGAAGCGGACCCCGCTTTAATCTCACCGCCAGTAAGCCCCGCCCCTTGTATATTCCAATACAGTAATGGTATTGTGGATCGATCATTGTTGTTTATGCGACGATGCGGACATGTACACTGTACATGTAAACAGTGATATTATGGAGAACATTGATAAATTTTCTGAAATTAAACTGTTTATTAGACGTAGATTTACATGTACATGAATAGTTGATCTCCTTGATTTCTCTATCCCGAGAAATTCAAACTGATTTAACAGCGGGTTATAAGGCATTTATTTTTCTTAAGTTATAACGAGAAAAAAAAGAGAGGAAGAAAGGAGTGTTGAATTGATTTTCAGTGTATCGAATGGTGTACAAGTGAAACAGATGAAAGAAATTTAAACTGAATACCTTTTAAATCCATGCTTTATATAGTTTAAAAATACATTTGTAATTCCTTACTATTTGCTAAATCATAGTTTGAATGTTTACTAAACACGTGAATTATGATATCGCATCTATAAATTACATGTAACCTTTTGTACATCTGATATATTTAGATTTCATTTATAGTACTTGCACATTAAAAGTTCGTAATAAATATTTACCGGACATTTTCTAAAAAGAAAATTACACTGTATATTAGAGCTTCTCCAAGGTCAAAATTTGGAGCGGGAATGATTTTTATCAGAATAAAGAAAAAGGCAAATAATAATTGTTCTCCCGACCCGATAAGAATATATTAATACAGTCTGCATATGCCCCCTATTTCACACACACATTGTCTTTAAAAAATTCTAATTATTTAATTATTTTATTTCTGATTTCTCAATTTACGTGTTACATTAATTTATTCAAAATTTACATCAAAATTATTGATCTTCTTAGTCTTCTTGGGCATGAAAAAATGCGTGTATATAAAAATCTTCCTTCTGGATGCACAGATTGAAGTCATTCCGCCCAAAAGGTATTAACAAACTGAATGACTTCACCAGAATGAACGTGAATTAGACACAATTCCTGATGATACTTAACAAGATTTATTTATTCTTTCAACTTAGTGTAACTCTACAGTTAGTTTGCGTTACCGTCTTTCGAACAACCCACATAACTATGCATTGCTAACGCCTTTATTAATTATTTTTCCCAATAATTAGTCCTAAAACATTTCAAAATTTATAAAAGATTATAATTCATGTTAAAATATCCCTTCTATATTATATTTCTCTGATTATTCTTTGTCAAGTATAGTTACGCATTTTGAGAGAATGAAACAATGTACGATTTACTAAATGTCGTGATAAATTAGCGTAATTAATTCGTTCAATTATGTAAATCGCACATCACCTGAGTATACCCCGATA